GTTTAGCGAGGACAGATCAGTTACGCCCTCATCTGGTAGCACACCAATGCTGACTTAATACCGCCCGCCCTGGAGAAGGGAGAAACAGCAAGGACAAGGCAGGGACATCTTCCAAGCTGAAGTCTTCACCTCTAAACAGACTTTTTAAGGAGGCAAGGATATAGCTGACTGTGACTCCCTTTCCACCTGACTCTTCCAGACGATCCTTGGCCTTGGCCTTGGCAGCGGGGCTTTTATCCATATAAAAAGAAAGGATACTACGCCATACGCTGCAGCACTCCTGAACTGTATGTGTGGACAGGCTCTAAAGGACGAAGTAAAGAACATTGTTATCTTGGAATTATCTGTTTTTACTTATCAGAAAACTTTACCCACCTGGCTCAAATGCAAATCCCTTTGAAGGCAGCCGTTACACTGATGTACTAATTTTATGAACTTCTTCCCCAGGGTGGAATTTAATCAGATAACTGAATATTGTTGTTTTTTTTTTTTTTTTTTTTTTTTTTTTAGAAAAATATGTGCCACATGCCTCACATCTTCTGACAAGTTTTTAAATTGGGCTTTCTCTATGTCGCTCTGGCTATCCTGGAGCTTGCTATGTAGACCAGGCTGGCCTTGAACATACAGAGATCTATCCGCCCCTGCCTCCAGTATGCTGGGATTAAAGGTGTGAGACACATTTTCCTTCTTTTCAATGGTTGACATGAACCAGACAATATTCCACAACCTCTTATGTTAAAGCTGCAATCACAGAAGTCTTACAGTGTCACTGTACAGAAACTGGAAATTGCTTTAATGTTACCTGAAATGAGTCATTTATGTATAAAATCTTTTCTCCCAGTGAAGCACCAAATCCCACTAGTAATTTTGACAATGTCAAATTAAGCACAAGAGATTCTACTCTTCTACCTGTGGTGGTTTGAATAGGTATGGGCTGCATAGACACGTTTGCATGCTTGGCCAATGGGAAGTGGCACTGTTAGGAGCTGTGGCCTTGTTAGAGAATGTGAGTTGCTATGAGGACTCAATTTGAGGTCTCCTATGCTCAAGCTCCTCCTCCTGCTGCCTGCAGATCAAGATGTTCCTTCAGTTCCTTCTCCAGCACCAGGTCTGCCTGCAACACTGTTGTTCTTCTCACCATGAAGATAATAATGGACTCAACATCTGAAACATTAAGCCAGTCCAATTAAATTTTTTCCTTTGTAAGAGTTGCTGTGGTCACGGTGTCTGTTCACAGCAATGGAAACCATCAGACAGAAGTTGGTACCATGGACTGGGGTATTGCTGTGATAGGCTTAAAAATGCTTTTGTTTGATTCTCAGCTTCATATGGAGAAACAAAAAACCCAGAACAATCCTGTACAACAACAGATCATCTGGAGGTATCTCCATCCCCAATCTCAAGTTGTACTACAGAGCAATAGTAATAAAAACTGCATGGTATTGGCATAAAAACAGAAAGGAGGATCAATGGAAACGCATAGAAGACCCAGAAATAAACCCACACACCTACGAATACTCGATTTTTGACAAAGCAGCCAAAACCATTCAATGGAAAAAAGACAGCATCTTCAACAAATGGTGCTGGTCCAACTGGATGTCCACATGCAGAAAAATAAAAATAGATCTATATTTATCACCCTGCACAAAACTAAAGTCCAAGTGGATCAAAGACCTCAACATAAAACCAGATACTCTAAATCTGTTAGAAGAAAAAGTGGGGAACAGCCTAGAACTCATTGGCACAGGAGACAACTTCCTGAACAGAACACCAACAGCACAGGCTCTAAGAGCAACAATCAATAAATGGGACCTCATGAAACTGAAAAGCTTCTGTAAAGCAAAGGACACTGTCATCAAAACAAAACGCCTGCCTACAGACTGGGAAAGAATCTTCACTAACCCTTTATCTGACAGAGGACTAATATGGAGTATATACAAAGAACTAAAGAAGCTGAAAAGCAGCAAACCAAGTAATCTACTTAAAAAAACAGAAAATTCTCGACAGAGGAATATCGAATGGCAGAGAAACACTTAAAGAAATGCTCATCCTCATTAGCCATCAGGGAAATGCAAATCAAAACAACCCTGAGATATCACCTCACACCCATCAGAATGGCCAAGATGAAAAACTCAAGGGACAACACATGCTGGAGAGGTTGTGGAGAAAGGGGAACCCTCCTCCACTGCTGGTGGGAATGTAAACTGATACAACCACTCTGGAAATCTATCTGGTGCTTTCTAAGACAATTAGGAATAGTGCTTCCTCAAGACCCAGCTATACCACTGCTAGGTATATACCCAAAGTTTGCTCAAGTACACAAAAGGGATATTTGCTCAACCATGTTTATAGCAGCTTTATTTGTAATAGCCAGAACCTGGAAACAACCCAGATGTCCATCAACGGAGGAATGGGTACAGAAATTGTGGTATTTTTACACAATGGAATACTACTCAGCAATCAAAAAGGAGGAAATCATGAAATTTGCAGGCAAATGGTGGGATCTAGAAAAGATCATACTGAGTGAAATATCCCAGGAGAAAGACAAACACGGTATATACTCACTTATATAGACCTATAAGATATGATAAACATAATGAAATCTATACACCTAAAAAAGATAATCAAGAGAGCGGACATGGGGTAAGATTATCAATCCTTGTTTAGAAAGGCAGATGGGATGCACATTGAACATTGACAGGAGTCTACTGAGAGCATCTGAAAGACTCTAACTAGCAGTGTTTCCAAAGCAAAGACTCATGACCAAACCTTTGGCAGAGTACAGGGAACCATAAGAAAGAAGGGGAGTTAGTCTGATGAGGAAAGGATAGGAGCTCCACAAGGACCAAATATATCTGGGCACAGGGTCTTTTCTGAGACTGACATGCAACCAAGGACCATGTATGAATGTAACCTAGAACCTCTGCTCAGATGTAGCCTGTGGTAGCTCAGTAACCAATTGGTTTCCCATAGTGAGGGGAACAAGGACTATTTCTAACAGGAACTCAATGACTGGCTCTTTGGCCTCCCCACCCCCCAAGGGAGGAGCAGTCCTGTTAGGCCACAGAGGAGAGCTTTGCAGCCAGTCCTGAAGATACCTGATAAAACATGATCAGATGAATGGGGAGGAGGTCCCCCCTATCAGTGGACTTGGCAAGGGGCACGGTGGAGATGAAGGAGGGAGGGAGGGACTGGGAGGGAATGAGGGATCGGGACAAGGCTGGGATACAGAGTTAATAAAATGTAACTGATAAGAAAAAAATAAAATTAAAAAAAATGCTTTTGTTTGGAGAAATGTAGATTTTGGGACTTTGTGTTAGGCAAGCAATAGAATGCTCTAAGCACTGCTTACTGGGCCATCCTAGTAGGAAAATGGCAGACAATGGTGCTCAGGATGACTTGAACTGTAGGGACCTAGATCAAGGTTTCAGAGAAGATTATTAGTATGTGGTCTGGAGATATTTTGGTGAAAAATGTAGCTGCTTTTTGCCCCTGTCCAAAGAGTCTGCCTGCGCTAAGGTGAAGAGATTTAGATTAATTGCATTGGCAAAGGAAAGCTCAACCGGCCTAGTATAGACTCTGTCTTCTGGTTCACTCTTACGAGTAACATTTTGATGAAATGAAGCAAGCTGGGCAAGGAAAAACAAAATGTATGGTTCAAGGATTAAAGGAGCACCTGGAAGTGGAATAAAACTACTCCTGCATTCAAGGAGATAAACAGATTAGATATTAAACACAATTACAGGAGTCGTGACCTCCAGGAAAGATGCCACCCAGCTAAGCTTCCATCTAGTGAAAAGCAATTAAAGAAACGCTTAGATCTGAGCATGGTGATATGTGCCTTTAATCGTTAACACTCAGGAGACAGAAGCAAACAGATCTCTGAGTTCAAGGCCAGCCTGGTCTACAGAGCAAGTTCCAAGTTTAGGCAGTGAAGGAAACCACTGAAAACTGAGAGTTGAAAAGGTGTAACTGCCATGCTCTACCTGGCAGCTTTGGTCATGCAGTTCTGGCTTTAGCATCAAGGATAGAAGAGGTTATGCAATCTCCCTCTGTGACTAAGGAAAGCTGTCAAAGCCAGGTGTTTGGTAGAGGTGTCCCTGCATGGAGACCCAGAGAGGCAACTGTGTGAAGCTGTGATGGTAAAATCTGGACTGCATTGGAGACCTTAAGAGATGAGAGATAACAGTCAAGAAAAGCTGCTAGCTGGTAGTGGAACCAGCCCAAGAGAAAGAAGTGGGTTGCAGTCAAGAAAGCTTACAGGAGTTAAGAGATCTGAAGAACATTTTGATATCCGACAGAGATACAAATTTGGAAGTTTGCCCAGCTGGTTTTTGGTCTTACTTTGGTCCAGTATTTGGTCCTCACTATTCTGCCTTTCCTTCATTTTGGAAAGATAACATAGATCCCAGGCCATTATATATTAGAAGTGAATGATTTGCTTATTTTACAAGTAACATTACATGGAAAAAAAGATATTGCATGAATCTTAGAAGAGATTTTGAACTTTTAAACATTGTTCAGACTGTGACAGACTCAGGCACTTTTGAAGCTGGACTAAATGCATTTAGCATGTAGCAATGGCTACAACACTGTGAAGGCCAGAGAGTGTACATGCTGAACGGTGTGTGTGTGAGACAGAGAGAGACTCTTAAGAGGCCTTTTGGCAAAGACATATACAATTGCCTTGTGGAATTACAGGCTTCTTCAATTCTCAATTTTTGTTTCTAAGTTTTGAGTGTTTGGTTCAGTTTAAAGAGGATTCCTTCATTCCAGCTGTACAGCTTATGAGTTTTGGAGATAATTTATGAAATCCCAGGCTTATTGGCATTGTCTAAGCTATAGAAAGTAACACGGTGCTACTCCTACAGCAGTAAGAAATACTGTTAGAGCCAGTAAGCACTGTGGAGATCAAGTGATGGTGTCTCACACTGAAATGACCTTTGGTATATTCCAGTCCTACAGACTCGGAAACAAGCCTTCATAATGAACAGACAGAAGACAATCCAAGTACAATTTTTTAATAAAGATAATTACAAAAGATGGAAAAATCAGCTCAGAAAGGCCAATTGCTTTTTTAATAGATCCTGTTTTGGACATAATAACACATCAATTTAAATACAATCACATAAAGCATGGTGGAAAAAAAAAAAGAAAATTTTGCTTCATAATTAGAAAAACTCACAATAAAACTTGCCAAGAAAAACAAAAACAAGCCATTTTGAAAATAAATACAGTCCATGCCAAAACAGTATAAAATGAAGCCAGTCCTCAAACAGCAAAGGTTTCTCTTCCCAGTATCGTCTCAATTTTCCAGAGGTTCCTAAAGTTGGGGAGTCAAATTCAGGGGTTGCTGAGTTGTTCTGATTTGGCTCTGTTGAAAGAGGTACAGTGAATTATTAAAAATAGCAGTCTCAGTTTAAGAGCACTGACCTAGCTACTGATCAAGTCTTGCAGATTCACACCAAGTAATTTCAGTGTTGGTTTTGAGCCATGGAAAACCTGAAATCTTCCAGTGGTTTTACAACTAAGCATTCCAAGCTATCCTTGCAAAGAGGGACACAACTGTGTGTGGCCAAGCATGCGTAGTTAAGCTTTTGACACAGAAGCTCACTCTTGAGCCCAGACTGACATTTTAAAACTCACTATGTAGCTCAGTCTGGATTGAAGTTAATGGCAATCCTCCAGTCTGAGCCTCTCCAGTATGCTCAGGTTACAGAATCAAGCCTTTTCACCTACACACATGCATTCTGATAATAAAATTCTCAAACACGCTTTCACTTAACCCAATGTTTCTTAAACTAGCGTGTCTCCCAACACCAAAATATTCCAAGCACAGAAATCTGAGCATCAAGAAAACAATGATCTCATATATGAACAGTGTAGGACATATGGGCCACACCCAGAACATCTCTTACAGTACAATGCCTTTAGGTTTAACTTACTATTTCTAGAGTATACATGGCTTCCCCACGCCTTGCCCCGCCCCAAACACATGTAGAGAGATAAGAAGCATCACTCACCCTTTGGTATCTGTTTTTTCACCACTATTGTCCTTGGATTTGTCTTCTTCCTTAACATCTAAAGACAAAAGAAAAAGATTAAAACCTATTCTGAAATATAAAACGTATATATTTTATCTTACAATAAAAACGGTGTGCTATGCAATTTCACTACACAGGAATTCCATCACTAGAAATGTCATGTTCGATTCTGAGCTCTGATGTCAGAGCTCACTGTCCACGTGATGATGTGCTCCCACCCTTTTTAGTTTTTGGTTCAAAAGCATCATAACAGGTACTGGGAAGAACTTCAGAGTACAGAGAAGTGTAGCACGGTCAGGAGCTGTTGGAGGGAAGGACACTGAAATGGTCCCAAAGTATGAACACACTCAGGAAAAAGGGAAGAGTATCTTCCCAAGAGTAGCTTAACAGACTTTGGGTCAAGGCGGCAGTGGTGAGACAGAAGGCGCTGAAGATGACATGTTTGTGCTGTACAAAGAACAAGTGATCCTAAAAGCAAGAAGAAGCTAAATCATTCTGTTTTCTGTATTTTCTCCTTTTCTTTTTTAACATTCATTCATTCATTCATTCATTCATTCATTCATTCATTCAGAGAGTGTGTACACAGGGCTTACTTGGCATGGCATCCACAAGGACGTCAGAAGACAACTAGCAGAAATGAGCTGTCTTCTGCTGGCATGTAGATCCTGGGGATCACATGGTATCAGGCTTGGCAGCAAGCACCTTTATCTGCTGAGCCACCCTGATGGTCCACAATAGTTAAATCCCATTGCTCTGTCCTTAAAAGTTTCAACTACCACTAAACTAAAGTTCCTAAGTTAATATAGTAATAAAAGTTTCCTGTCACAGTTGTACAGAGAATTTTCACTATATAAAATAAAGATATGATGCAGTGGCCTCCGATGAGGTGCAGGAAGATCAGCATTCTTGGGTAACACAGAACTTGCACTGATGTCATTGTTCTGACAAACATATGTGCCGACAATGACAATTTTGCTACATTTCAGTTTTTGGCTAATTTTGGCTAACTAAACTTTTATTGATAGCGCCAAAGGGGTGGTGGTTCTTATTCTTTAGGTTTTGACATACAGATTTTTTTATTTATTTATTTATTTATTTAGTCTAAAAGAGCATTAATTTTGTCTAATAGTAAGAGACACTTTCCTACTTGGAAGAAAGAGAAAATGCAGAAGGTATTTTAAAATGAAAGAAACTGAGTTGGCTGTGGTGGCATATTTCTGTAACCCAGCACTCAGGAGTCTGAGGAAGGAAAATGGCTTGAGTCCAAAGCCAGCACACTGCATAATCAAAGTATGCAGGCCTACGGAGTGAGGCCTGCCTCCATGATTAACACCCCAACTAAAACTGGCATCCTTGTCATTGTTAGTATGAGGAAGCATGTTGAAGAGACCATCTCCCATCCTTACCCCTACATAGTCCAGCACAATCAAACATGGAAGAGGTGCTAAAATGGCATACCTTTCTGAACACATTATGACATTAGAAACTACTGCTGCCCAGCTGCTAAGGCCCACCCTACCTTTCCTCAGTTTTACTTCCTTTAGTTCCTGGAGAGGCTTCATGTTTAAAGCACCTTTTTAAAGAATTATGGAGCTTAACTTCTTCTTTATTAAGTCAACTTTAAAACATTTAAAATTATCTCAGAATTTTAGCTGTGAACTAGATGGATTGCCATGTTCTAATCCCAGTGTACAGAAGAAGGACAAGACAGGAGGACCCCTGTGAGTTCAAGGCCATCTGAGCTACAGTAGACATGATGCAGTTCTGCTCCACGCCCAATGTTTGCACTACTCCGCCATCAGCGTTCTGCAAACGCATCTATTCTCCGACATGTCATGTCTACTATTTTTGTCTATGTTATTAAAAGGAAATAAAGTTTCTATATCACAAAGAAAATGTGAGCACAAACACTTCAAAAAACCTTAAACCAATTTTGAAAGCCCTGAACAAGCAAAGGAGAAGCTACCTACTGATCGTACCCACCCTGTGTGACTGCTGGATCTCCTAAAAGCTACAGTGCAGCTCTTGGGCAGAAACAATGAAATAGTCACCAAAACATAAACTGACCTGTCTTTTTGTCCTCTGCCTCCTTCTTGTCTTCTTCAATCCTAGCTTTCTTTGCTCCCTTCTTATGATCGGCAACATTTCTACGCCCTCCTTCACCTTCATCCTCAGAATCTGAAAATTCTTCATCGCAAGCTATCCGCTTGTCTGATGCTCGAACTGATACACAAAAGATTTTAATAAACTTGATAACAGCCACAGGTTCGTTAATCATTAATTAATCTACATATATAAGTAGTTAGCACATTCAACTCTGCCCACCGAACAAATGGAATACTTTTCCAATACATCAAGTGCCTACTTTCTGGACACAGCTATATCTGCATAGTCATACAAAATGAAACTGGTGATATTAATTCAGGCTCTGAGACATGAGGAAGCTAAATCTACACATAGTAGAAATGGAGACAAGGATCATCACAACACCTGCTGGGAAACATACTCTGTGCGCCTTCAATTTAAGTCTTATTTTGATACATCAGAAAAATGCCAAAATACATATCAAGGGCTTCCTTACTAGAAATTCTCTTGTCCGGGTCTTCTCCGTCCTCATCCCCACTGTCTTCGTGTACAGCATCTTCTGGAATAGCTTGCATCTGAACACCAGGTGCATGTGGTAACATGCGGAGATTTTCAAATAAACGCTGTCTAAATGACACAATTTATCAGAAAAATTCACTTAATATAAAGTTACTATTATGCACAGGAGAAACATTAAACAAAAATCATCTTTCATTTAGTTAAGCACTAAACAAAGCAGCATTTAAGCACCAATTCTTTGCATATATTAGCTATGTGAACCCACTGCACAAGAGCTATGTACTATTTTCACGCCCCGTTTGATGATGAGGAAACAAATGCACCTGTCCAAGGCCATACAACTAATCTATGGGAGAGAGAACATAACCCATACAAACGAGTGTTTCTGCATTCTACAGAGACAGAGCTTTAATAAGACGCTTCAGATAATGCAAACAAAGCACCTACTTTAATGGAAAGCAAGAAAGTGTAAAATTTAGTGCCCTTGGCAATTTAAAATGCACTTGAACTAATAAAAATGTTTCTATTTACAAAGGTTGTATATTTGTGTTAATATGGTACAGCAAAAACATCTGTATTCTTAAGATTTCAAATCCTTTTATTTAAACAAAGGAAATATCTGATGCATGCAGCTAACATAACTTCCTTTATTTGACCTTTTATAGCCTCCTAAAATTTCATTAAGATGAAATTATTTCTTACTTTATCTTTTCCATATATTCTGGAGTATTCTGGTTCGTCATGTTTGAAGGACTAATATGCAGTTTGAAGTCTGGTCCAAAATACTCAAAGTAATCATTATATGGCAACTCTATTAAAAACAATGAAAAGCAAGTTAACCATTGAAAGCTTAGTTTCCATATAAGCTCACAAACATAGTATAGATCTAAGTAGAGGACTATTTCCTGAGGAAAGCTTGAAAGCGAATACACCAGGAATGCACTCTCACATATTTGCAATCTACCCATCTTCTCATTAGATGAGATCACACACTCCAGGGTGTGGCGGCAGACTCTCACACTCACCTATTTCTACAGACTGGATGTTCTGGCAGATACTACAACTTAAGCACCTACCATTGGGGATCTCACAGTCAAGCGCAACTGCCGTCTCGTACGTCCAACACCGAGCAACGTTTCGGATTGTGTAGCCACCTCCACCAAGCATCAGCAATGGCAAGTTAAAAGTTTTTACAACTTCTACACATTTAGCATGACCTAAGACAAAGAAGAGTTGGGTAACAACAAAATATGTATTTTGTAGAAACTTAAAATTGGACCTTAAAAATTATAAATACAAACAATTTTACTCAACCAAAATAGGGTTTTTAGACAGCCAGAAGTGGCACATGCCAGCAAGGTGAGGTGGGTGGATCAGAGGAGGCTAGTCTAGACGACAAAAGCAGGCCAACCCACCGTGGGGCAGAGGATGAGGACGAGGACTGTATCCAACAAATAACTTATTGTATTAGTAGCCAAATAAGCACTCATGTATTTTACTGACATAGAAGACATGCATGTGAGATCACGTAAGGCAGAGAAAAATCATATCAATGAAACACTATACAAATCCTAAATTTTGTTTCTTCCCCAGATATATGTGGCTTAACTATGGAAGGCTATTTCGTAAAATTTGACCAGATTGTCGTTATGTGCTGGTATTATGGATAGCTTTTTTAAGGATTTATTTATTATGCATATACTATTCTGTCTGCATTTACACCTGTACACCAGAAGAGAACACCGGGTGTCATCATAAATGGTTGTGAGCCACCATGTGGTTGCTGGGATAATTTTTTTAACTTACTTAAGATTACAAACCTAATCTAGAAATAAGTTATGAGTTACCAGTAACTTCTAGTGCCATTATCATTCAAGTACATAATTCAGAAGAAAGAAAATCCTTCAATGATGACAACAGAAAATCATCTATGTATTTTTCCCCCATGCTTTCTTTTTATGGGTTTTAGCCTTAATTAAAAAAAAAAAAAAATTCCAATGCAGTGACTTTTACCCTTTACTGAGATGATGGCTAATATATGCATAGAAGTCATTTAGTTTCTGTGGCTGGTCAATTTCAGTGTGTGATTTTTCTTTTTCATACTGTTGTTTGTTTTTGCAACTTTTAAAAATAACAAAATGGCACAAAGGAAAAAAAATCCCAATTACCTAAGAAGACTTTATTTATAGTATTTAATTAACTGTTTTCTTCATGTAATTGTCAACCAGACATCTACCAGAACAAGTGTTTCTTGGAGAAGACCATACGGGCATTTGTAAGGACGGAAGCTAGTTTACAGACTACAAGGAAAGAGAGCAGGCAAAACGAGCATCCTCCTTTCTACCACCCCACAGCAGGCAAAAACTATTACAAAGGGATTTTGTAAAATGAGGGCTAGAACCTGTAAAAGGAAGCACAGAAAAGAACACAAGAACATAATTAAGGAGGGGCGAGCTGGGCAGCAGTTGGCTGCCCGACTTCATTAGGTCTGAGAGAAATGTAGCTGAAACCACTCGCAGAATCGTAGTCTAAGTCAGAAAAGGGAATTGCAAATAGTCTTATATGCTTTACACAAATGAACTTCTGCTTGCTGAAATACAATACAGATGTACTGTAGAGCCCAATGCAGTTTATAATGAAAGTTGCTACTTTTAAATACAGACAGACTTTCAGTTACAGAAGGAATACTGACAGTGTACTCTAGAACCAGTTATCGCTCATTTTAGAGTAAAGGTGCCTAGCATCTAAAAGGAAGGGAATTTCAGACTGACCACTTCGGGAAATTCATATCCGCTTTCAAACAGTAGACGGTTATTAATACATTTGGGTCGACAACATGAAGGTGCCGTTAGGTGAATGCTGACCTACAGGGAAGTGAGTAACTAATTTTGTGTCGCACAATTCAATACAAAGCAGGTTAACAGTGTAAGCACAGTCCTAAGGTTGGTCTGCAAGGAACAATCCTAAGTAGCTGCTAATGTCTACGTTTAGTTATTGTAAAAGTTCTATACGAGAATTCAAACCAAGAAGTCAACTTGTCACCTGAAGGTTCACACAGAAAAAGACTACACACAATGTAAAAAAAAGAAAGTAATACATGCCATGTGCATGCTAAGTCAAAGGTAATGATCCAAACATTACCTTTATTAACTTATGAAGGTTTATTCTTTAAATAGACTTATTTTATATTTTGAGACAGGGTCTCACTATAAAGCCTTGGCTGGCGTGAAGCTTGCTATATAGACCTGGCTAGACGCCACTTGCCCTTGCCTCTGCTGTCCCAATGTTGGGTTTAAAAGCATGTGCTGGACACTCCACTATGATTCATTCTAATACTCTAGAAGTTCATTCCATAAAGGTGACTTAAGACTTTTACTTAGCATTTTGACTTTAGCACTTCATAAGGACTTAACAATTAGGGCAGCACCACTGATGAAGATACATAAGAATGTGTCCGCCATCTGTTAGGTAGCAACTGAGAAGGAAATGGAGGGCAAACATAATAAAAAAGAAGCAGAAAGCACTATGTCCCATTAGACTCATGAGGACACTTAGTCCAAGAAGGAGAAGATCAGAAGATCAGAAAGTGACACAGACCCTGCAAAAGCTGAGCAGAATATATTTAGAAATTCAGTTTAGTTATGAGCAAAGAGAAAACTAAGCAAGCAAGAAATTAAAAAAAGAAAGTGAGTCGTGCAAGTAGAGAAGACTGCTAAGACAAAAAACACTGGTGATGTTAAGAAATGAACACCCAACCCAAAATCTTATGGGCCAGGATATGATAAAGGAGCGTGCATGCTAGAATAAAGTGAGGCAAGCCGAATCCTCATCTTCTGTGACAGCAAACGATTCCATCAGACAACCAGGTATGGGTTTTCTGAAAAAAAGCCTGACAGGACTGAAAAAAACACAGACAACTCCTGTCCTAGTTGGCACGGCAACAAACTAACTATTCATGGATAAATATAGCAACCCAGAAAAGACTTATGGGGAACAAGATTACCTAGTCAGCCTCATACCCCCAAAAAACAAAACAAAACAAAAAAACAGTTAAAATCCACTAAAAATACAAGTATAGAAGTACACAGCTTGACATCAAATTGGCCAGCAAAATATAACAATGAGAAATTAATATATATATTTTAAATGTTTATGTTGTATGCAACATGCATGTCTGGTGGTATAAATCAGAAGAGGGTACTAGATCCCCTGGAGTTACATTTGTAACTGGCTGGAAATCAAACCCAGGCCAGTCCTCTGCAAAAGGAACAAGTGTTTTTAATCGTGTCTACAGCCCTCAACCATGAGAACGTTTATGGGAAGTTCTTGGGAAGGAGAGAAACTATTTATGGATGAACTTGATTAGCCTTGGAATGCTTACCCTTGACAGTTAGATTGAAGCAACCGAGCCTGTCTCCAGACAGGGAGTCTGCGCCACACTGCAGCACCACAGCGCTAGGCTGGTACATCTCCATCACTTTAGAGATTATCTAGCCACAGAAGACAACACATTAGTATATAAGGATATTTTACAAAATCTGTTCTGTTTCTGAAAGCAGTACTTACAGGTTTAAAAATCTGTCCATATGATTCATCATCTATACCATCTCTCATGGGAAAATTGACAGCATAGTATTTTCCTTTTCCAGCACCAATATCCTGAAGCACAGAAATGGATTTTAAGAGATTATTTTTTAAGAAAAAGCCTTACATGTTTTGAAATGATCAAAAAACATAACACACAATTTTGGAAAAGGAAATACAAAATAAGCAAGCGCATGTTCCAATATCTGTAGAAGTACTTTTTAAGCTCTAAGGCAATTTTTAAAAGTGATATACAGTTAACACAAATAGAACACAAGTCTTATAGTCTGCTGGTGAAATGACCCAACAGGCAAAGCCCACTGAGTCAGATCCCGAGTCTGATGCTCAGGATCTCCCCACATGGCATTTGCAAGTTATCCTTTAACATGGCACATTTATGCCCCTCCCAAGCACACAAAATAAAACTTCTTATAAACCCCAGTTTGATGAGGCATGGGACAATTTTACAGGATGTAAAGGCAGACCCTACTAACTTCATCGTTCTTGAACTGAGGGGAGAGCTATGACCCAGACCCACAGGCAGGAATCCCCAGGGCCAGCACCTCCAACTGCATTGAAGCCACCACACCCATCACACCACTTTGGAACCACATGCAGTCCTGTGAACACAACCCCAGGTAGGGACCCCAAAATCAGTCTTCCACACAACCTACCAACACACCCTGGGACCATGTGGTAGGCTATGCCCTTGATCCTGAAAAAAGACCCTGCTTGGACTCTCCCAACCCACCACCACCTCAAGACTGTGTGATATCCTGTAGCCCACATCCATAGCACTGTCCATTCCCACTATGAGACCAGCCCCTGCTACCCACGGACAACTTGTAGTGCCTGGAGAGACCACCAAACCTTTTAAGGTTCATAAGGAAGTACTATGCCTAGCTGAGTTGAGACCTTTTGAAACACCTCATTCCTACATAACAGAGTAATCAAAACTGAACACCAAGGACCATTCAGCTGACATACAATCTGGAAATCATAACAGTGAATAATGATCCAAACAATTGCTCAACTAAGGTGAGGCCATATCTCCATCAAGAAATGCCAGATGCCTTGGTCTCACCACAAATACACAAACGAAATGAATAATCAAAGTAAGGCAAGACCACAGATCTACATTAAGAAACAGCTGATAACACAATTCCAGATGCCTCAGTCCCACCACAAAAACACTCACAAAATGAATAAGACAATTTACCCTCAAGTCTCCGGTTCCAGGAAAGTATTCCCCGTATTTATGGAATGAAACAGTCATCACGCGATCTGTTGTATAAAAGGCTTCTTCAACACCATCACCATGATGGATGTCTATGTCAATATACAAGACTCTCTGATGATACCTGAAAGAAAAGCAAAAGTCAGCAGAATGTAGAAACTGGTTCTTGATCTTAGGAAGAATGTTCAAGCATTCTTATCCCACAGTCATCCTAAGGGCATCCTGACCCCAGAACATCCAGTCTCCTTTGAGCAACCAAGACAATCTAGTACTCTGAGGCCTACACCCTCTTCTGTACACTTTAAAAACAGCCATATATTTCTATATATATTCATAACTCATTTATGCCAATTACTGCATTAGAAAATTTCAACACTGCTCAGCTTGGTGGTGCCGGCTTTTAATCCTAGCCCTTGGGAGACACAGGCAGGCAGACCTGGCCTGGTCTCCAGAGCAAATTCTAGGACAGCCAGGACTATACAGAAAAACCAAAACCCAAAAGGTGGAGGCAGGCCAGGAGATAGATGGCTCACTGGTTGGCAACACTGGCGGCTTCAATTCCCAGCAACTACATGGCAGTTTACAACTGTCTGTAACTGCAATTCCAGGGTATCCTACACACTCACAGATATACACGGAGGCAAAAGACCAATGCTCATAAATAAAAATAAATCAATAAAAAAAAAGAAAAATTCAGCATTATAAAATAACCCGGGGGCAACTGTGGCCTAACTAGTCCTGTTAGTATTTTTTATTCTTTTAAACAGCCTTATCTCAAAAACCTACCTGCCTCTGAAGAGCTAGAAATAGGTATGCCACCACTGTCCCAGTTTTCAATGGTTCAAAAATAAAATCAAACCAAGAATATCTTATAACATATGGAAGTTATGTGACAGTCAAATGTCCATGTCCATAAAAACTGTTTACAGCAACATGACATTTATTTATTTACACGTTCTCTATGGCATCCTTTGTCCTGTGATTGTGAGAGATCACTTCACTCCACTGATGCTCTGTACACTACAAATCAGTCACAGCAACAACTTAAGTGCACTTTTGGAGTCACTCCACCATAGAAGGACACAGCATTAGTTCCTTACGTATGCCAAATGCCAAAAGGAGAAAACTGTGTGTACACACACACACACACACACACACACACACACACGTATATATACGCGTATATGTATATAACCCCTGGATGCTGGAAAGTCAGCCTAGTGGTTAAGGGCACTGGCTGATCTTCCAGAAGATTGGGGTAAAATTCCCAGCACCCACATGTTGGCTCAAAACCATCTCTTAACTCCAGTTCCTGGTGACCTACTGCCCTCTTCTGGCCTCCACAGCCACTGCACATACATGGTGCAGACATACATGCAGGCAAAATGTCAATACACAAAAAAATAAAATCTAAAAACAAAATTAATTCATGGTTTACAGCTGTAAAATGACTGCCTTGTCACGGCAGCTGACTAAAACCATTGTTTATTTATTATCCAAAGATGTCATAGCTGTGCTAATACAATGTAAGCCTAAATCAAACCAGACACTCATCATGCTCTCAAAACACAGAAGCAACACTGAGAACAACCTATGAAAATTGCAAATGGTGGGCTTCATCATAGCAGAATTTCTTCAAAGTTTAAAAAAAGAATCATGAAGTTTTCAAGTGGCCAATGTGCTAGAGGAGCAAGGAAAGCTGCTTCCCAAACCAATGAAATCATGTTCCGTTTTCCAGGTGAAGTAAAGTACAGGCCAATCGAGCTTACTCAAGACTGAGCTTCAAAAGACAAAGAACAGCAAACTGTTCAGAGTTAATCAAGCCAATTAAAGATGATTTAAGTATTTGTTGGTTTTGGTGAGTCAAAGACATGCTATGCCGACGACTTTCAGTTGCTACTTATTTAAGCTGTCAGTACCACATTTTAACCGCTGGACGGTACATGTGGAGCCAGAACGCTAAGTCTACAAATAACAAATTCAGAAAAATCAGAGATACAATCACCTAAAATATTACAGCCAACAGTGGAAAATAATCTAACTGTATAAATCTCCAAATTCTATATCCCTTCCTGCTCTCTCAAATAGCAGTTAAAGATGAATTCCAAAACTTCAACACTCAGGCATACGTGTGTATCTCTAAGTAGGGAACACAGTTATTGGACGACGGAGCTGTGGTCAGCCAGGCTCACTAAGAGGGTAGAGACACTCCTTTAACACAGGTTTCAAAGTTTTGCCTTCAGGTCAGCGTCAGCATTCACACTCTAGGCCTAGCGGCCACTTTTATTAATCAAACTAATGCAAGCCCAAATTCACAACGAGCACTTCCGGCCAGCTTGGACACCTGTGCTCACTTCTTGCTCTCTGCAGAGCCACAGGTACTTCATTTCCGCGGGAGACTGAGCATCTATTTAGTATGATCTTGATATTCCTTAAAATCCATTTTATATCAATTAAGAGATCTGATCACAGGGAGCGGCAGTTTGAATTAGCTTACTTTAGTAATTCGAGGATGGCAAGCACGATATCGTTAACATAGCAGAATCCTGATGCTTCTGACTTCTTGGCATGATGTAACCCTCCAGCCCAGTTGACAGCCATGTCAGTTTGTTGCCGGTTTAACTTCACAGCCCCAGCTAAGGAGCGACAAAGCAAAATAAAACAAAGCTTTAGTGCCATTCGACTTCTGCTTTAGAGAAAAGCTCTAAGATCACGTTTGAACCTGACTGCTCAGGGTACTTACCAACCGAGCCACCGGTTGAGAGCTGACAAAACTCAAAGAGCCCATCAAATACCGGACAATCTTCCCCAACATTAACTGTGGAAAACAAATTTCATTAAGGTCAACCCATGTAAATCATTATAGGCTTTTTTTTTATTACAAATATGTTTGTTTTGGGCAATCATAGGGCATACCTTTCATGGTAGTAATATAATATTTGTAACTGTAAGATATAACTCAATATAATTAAACTGCTATGTGTGGAATTCCATTACAAAATCTTATGAGGATAAAAATGTGCGAAGTATCTCTACCCAACCAACCACCAACAACTACAAAAATCAAAAGCCTATTGACAGAAAAATAAACATAAATCTGGTATCAGAGTTTTAAAATTAAGTAGCTTTCTAACTCCTCACTCACACACAAGACCCCTAACTTTGAAGCGTTTCTTAGTATCAAGGAAATATTAACAGATTTTTCCTCCTGTGGCTAAAATTGATTTTAGAGGATGCTAAGACTTAAACAATTTCACAGAACAAAGACATAAAAGAAGACGCTGTAGAAGATGTGTATAATCCGTTTTGAGGTACTCGTAACGCCCCAAATGACAGCCTCTTCCAGAAGAGGACAAATATTCTACAAATCTACAAATTACAGGGACTATAAAGAATCAGTTTTAGCTTTTGGTTACTCAAATATCATGCTTTAATATGAGTCAGCATTATAAAGGTTTTAGACAAATCCTGTCTTTTCTCCAAGGGCCACACACAATTCACTGTGAAAATCCCAAATTAAACAAAACAAAACAAAAAACAACAACTCTGTAGATGAATATTATCTGTCCTTTTACAGCCTTAAATCAATCAAATGGGCTAATCTATAGTAGAGAAACATGACGAAAAATGAAGTTCTATGAACTTGGGAAATTCTTATTGTCATCATTGAAGTCTACCTCTCACTGAGGAAATGGGCTCCAGCATTAAGCTTCAAAGGATAGCATTCCGCATGTTTTAGAAATTGCGGTAATATTTAATTCATTACCAGTATTTGTCATTAAAAGAATACTTTCACCTATAGATGGAAACATGTTAGGATATATTCAAAATATACAAAACACTTCACTGACATCCCAACAAGGGGAAACAGTCTTCACATCACAGGGCAATGTAACTGATGCATGCAAATAAGACAAAAACCGCAGCAGTGTTAATACGGGAGGCAGAAGCAGCTGGATCTCTCTCTCAAGTTCAAGGCCAGCCTGGTCTGCATTAGCAAGCTCCAGGTCTATTACAGTTACAAAAATCTTAAAAAAAAATAAATAAATAAAATAAAATAAGCTTTTCCTTTGTAAAAGAAAGTGATCTACCTGACAATCCCAAAGGTATCATGGGAGGAAAATGAAAGTAAAAGACCAAACCAGCATTCATATAGGTGTTTTTTCTAATGTAAAATTAAGATTGGTCCAATGACCTGAATTAATAATTACATTAATATTTTAAACTACTAAAAATACCTATTCAGGCAACTCTACATATAAGCCTTGAAATGACTCATTTAATTCACCACTAGTAAAATACGTTATTTACAACGTACATCTCTGCATCTGCTTACTGTACTCAGACATGTTATCTGGTCTTATTGATCGCAGAAATTTGATATACTCATCACTGTGGTATTTTGTCATTTCTTCAGCAGTGGCTTTATGAGGCCTCTGAAAAGAAAAATGGCAGGATGTTGGAATTTTTAGTTGTTAATTCAGAACCATCAAATGGTATGTACAGTTCCCAGTCAGCATCTTCAAATGAACTAGATCCACCTGAGTAACGCGGACTACAAAGCTAATCCAAACTCATCCACTCCGGACAGCAGTACGCCCCTCTATGGCTGAGGCCACTCTTGTTTAGCAGATTGATCACATGTTCAGACTCTTTCCCATCACACCCTTGCTGCGCTCTACCCACTGATTTGCATCAATGTTTTCTGAGAACATCAGCTTAAGGTCCTCCTTGGGCTTCTTTTATTCCAGTTTTTGTTCTGAAAAGCTCAATTTCACTTATGACAGACTTCTTCCCCAAGCCTCCCACTTCTCTAAAACATCTTTATCTGGAAATTCATATAACACTTCCTAGCCCTATTAACTGTTTTAAGCCCTCTTCTCTTCAGTAGTTAAGCATTATCCTACTTTATACATTTTATATACACCACTGCCCTTTTTATGCAGACTCTTAAGGTGGCTGTGTACCTTATACTACTGTTTACTGAACTGGCTATCATCAGTATTTGATATATAGGATAACCACATAAATATTTGTAAGATCAATTTTCCCCAAACTCTTGCAATAGTCCAGGCCAGTTCTTTTCTCTTTAAAAACCACACTGTATTTACTTATTTCTGGAGATGTGTGTGTCACTGTGCCCATAAGGAACAGAAGACAACCTGAGGGAATTTGGTCTCTATTTTCACCATGGGAATGCTGAGGAATGCACACAGGTCACCAGGCGTGGTGGCAAGCACCCTTGTCCTATTAAGTTCCCTGACCAACTCCAAGTCAATTTTTTTTTAACAGCACAGGCAATTCAACAGCATTGCCACATAAATATTTGGTATGTTGGACAAAGCTATTCTTCAGAAACACAGGCTAAGACCAGAGGTGTTTCAAATGACTAAAGAGGGACGGGACAATTACTCCTATACCTTACGCTTTCTCTGATGAATTAAACCAAAAAATCTGCCTTCTTCCACATCTTTTCATTTACTACATGCATAGCCGACAGCTGCATACGAAGAGCTTGCAAATACTAGCTTAAAAAGCAGGGCCAGAGGAGTACTTACATATATTTCCATTTTTCGGTATAAGCCATAATTTAGCAGCAAATTATGAGTCATCCGGATTCTATGAGGCTTCATGGGATGACCCTGGCCATAATAATAATTTCCAATATCACCTAAAAGAGAAAAGATGCTCATTAAACAATGCAGACACGTGTGTCTGTGTATGTCTGCCCATCTGTGAGTGTCCCTGTCTGTATGTTTGATATTAAAAGATTTATCATTTAAAGAGTTGTTAAAAATCAGATTACCTTCTGATATTCAAATTACATCAGAGATCTAATATACCATGCAGATTTATACATGCTGAAGACGCACTTTCTCTGTAAAAGGAGAAAGTTTTTCAGACTTTTAGTTCTCTAATTTTACCACTTTGGTTTTTTAAAATGAAACTCATTTTTTAGCAGGGTTTTGTTATTTTTTAAATTTAAATACATAAAATGTATTCTTGTAGTCTGGGGTATGATCTAATTTTTTCACCTAGTATTGTTTCTTGCCTCACTTACTGGCACGGTGCAGAAATCTCTTAAGAGTTGAACTGGTGTTATGAGAGTGTTTAGAAGTTCAGTGTCAATAAGAGGAGACTCAAGGCATTTTTTCAGGGTAATAATGACAGTCTTGTCTTCATTTCTCAGGACTAAATAGTTGTGGTTCGTCTATTAAAATATCTTAGATGCCAATGTCTTAAAACAACATTTAAAATAATGCCAAAATCTGATCTTTAGCAACAAAATACTTTTAGGCAAGGTTTTACTACTTATCATAAAATGCTGACAAGGAAAAGCTTGTCAACAAGCTTTGAAAAACTATGTATTACTGTTAAGGCAAAGACACTATTTTTACTTTGTGTGTCCCAGTGCTTGGCTGCATGTACATCAGCAGACCACATAATACACTTGGTGTCTGTGGCGGTCAGTAGGAGTCAGATCTCCCGCAACCGTAGTTACATACGGCTGAAAGCTGCTTTGTGGGTGCTGAGAACAAAACCTGGGACTTCTACAAGAGCTGCAAGTGCTCTTAACTCCTGAGCTATCTCTCCAGCACTATAAGAGATACTTTTTACAACAGCCTTATCAAGCATGAGAAATCAGTATTACCACTGCTGTTTAAATAAAACACTCAAAAATGTGTTAGGAAAGCAGAGCTGATTTTAACAGTCTGCAAATATTACCATTTCAGCACAGATTTATACAATAAATGCTAGGTGCCAAATCCCATATACCTGCCCTTAAAATGACAAAGCTTAAACTTTGAGTGGTAGTGCACATCTTTAGTTTAGTACTTAGGGAAACAGAAAGAGTTGGGGAAGCAGAAAAAGGGGAATCTCTGTAAGATCAAGGCCAGCCTGATCTACTTACAGAATTCCACAAAAGCCAGAGCTACATCCGCAAGACCCTCTCTCAAAAACAAACACCTCCCTTTCAGAATCTTCCCCAATAATACCTTTTCATTTGTACAGTAGAAAAAAAAATGTAGAAAGTTTTGTATTTTCTGCTTGACAATACCCCAAGAAACATTTGCTTTTCCCCCACTTGAGACAAAGTTCTCCTTATATAGCTCAGGTAGCCACTGAATTGATGATCCTTCAGAGTCCACTGGCTTTTGTCATCAGACCCAGCTGAACATTCATGTTTACATAGTATGTCTTCTAGTTGTAAGGTGTAGTACCTCCAGTTTATTTAACACAAGCTAAATTCTGAAGATGATTTACAAATACAGGGCCACTTAGAATGCTAGCCAGCTTTTCAAAGGTGAATGAAAACAGCAGCGCCAAGAAACAATATATCCCGTTAACCTTTGTAGAAAAAAAAATTTAAAGCAATTTTAATTTAAATATATTTTGATCATATTCTTCCCCTACCCAAGGTCCTTCCAGATGTTCTCCCTACCCAGCCAACTTTAAGTTTTAGTGTTTGGAAAAAATACAAAGCGACAGCAAGAACATTTATCTAGTACTTAGTGTTAGTTTTTATCTTTTCAACTCTAGGGCATGCTAACATTTTATAATCATGGAGAAGCACCCTATACAAGCATGTTAAGTAAGGTAGCTAGTCACACTACTAGCAGATAGGAGTTACATTCAGATCCAGGAAGGACAGATCACAGGCAGTAAATATTCTTTTGTACTGTCACTGGCAGAGCAATGGAAGAGTCACAAGGAAGTAACAGCAGGGCCAAGGCTAATGAGAGGAGAATATGGGATAAATAAATGCTTTTAATCAAAGCATGGCCTTTGTTACTTTAAAGAATATCAACAAAGTAAATGACCTTCCTAATTTATGAAAGTAATTAACTTGTAACTACGAGGGCCTCAGATATATACTAATATATACACCTTTCAACAAACTTGCCATTATTTTGATGCCCTTATTCTTACTAAGAATATTCACTTAGCCTAAAAGATACATTCAAAGGACAGCCAAGCCACAGATGATGATTTTTTTTTTTTTTTTCAAAATCTCTCCAAAGTCAGTGGTGGAACATTTCTCTAGCGTGTACAGCCTTTGGTTTAATTCTTTAGCACAGAAGGGCAGAGCAGGTGGGGATGGAGGAGGGAAGGAGAGGGAATGTAGGGCAATATGGAAGTAGGGCTTCTAACTAGGGAGGAGGAAGGAGATAAGTACAGGACAAGGGAGGAGGATAAAGCGGCAGTAAGGATGTCTCAAGGAATCAAAAGCAATCATACTACTGTCCTAAAATACCTATAATACACACAAGTCAGTGTATAAATACACACACGCTCCCTCCAAGAGCCATTATCCATAAACAACAACAACAACAAACCAACACCAGGCTTGAGAAATCCTCTTTTGAGTTGTTGGTCAGGGTCTTCTCCAAGAAACTCCCCAAACACCTTACAGGCTACTAAGCTTGGTTGCCCTCTAGAGGTGGAAGAAAACTGCCTAACGCTGAAGACACCCTGCAGGCTACTAAGCTTGGTTGCCCTCTAGAGGTGGAAGAAAACTGCCTAACGCTGAAGACACCCTGCACTTCAGATGGAGAGACTCCTGAGCTGGACCTGACCGGAAAGCCTCCTCCTTCTTGAGACTACCTGATCCTTGATCCTTCACGTTACTAAAAGGAATTGTGTAAGCTTCCAGGAGAGAAGCAACCAAAAGTCTCACCCAGCTATGACACCCACGAATCACAGTAGCCGCCACCATCGCACCATAAATGTGCTGTAGTGGCATTCATAAATTTGCTGTAACCATGAGTTTACTAGTTAGACTTAAGACCTATTCAGCGAGAGAAATCACACCTGGTACTAGAAACCTAGCCAACTCCCTAGTTCTACTGAAGCCATGGATATTGGAATAGAATTACAATTGCTATTTTACTAAACCAGCATAATTGCTATCTACATTCTAATCTATCTATCTATCTATCTATCTATCTATCTATCTATCTACCTACCTACCTACCTATCTCTATCTACATTCTATCTGTCTGTCTATCTATCTATCTATCTATCGATCGATCTGTCTATCTATCTATCTATCTATCTATCTATCTATCTATCTATCTATCTCTATCTACATTCTATCTATCTATCTATCTATCTATCTATCTCTATCTACTATCTATCTATCTATCTATCTATCTATCTATCTATCTATCTATCTATCTATCTATCTATCTATCTATCTATCTCTATCTACATTTGTCCTTATACACAGGTGTAGTCCTCATCCCGCATCAAGAAAACTTCTTTTTGTAGCACAGACCATTACAGACAACCACAACCAACTGGAATGCAGAATTGTGTAGCCCAGCACCAACTGATACATCAACAACACAAACCCTGCACCTGTGACTCAGGGATCACTGGAGAAGACAGAGCGCAAAGATTTTAAGAGCTAGAAGAATTGAGTCTGCGTCTTCTAGAAATGTCACCAACATAATTGGCTACAAACGCCCTGAACAAGAACATCAATAGGCATGCTAATGTAGATGAAGGAACACTCAGGAGGTGAGGCCTCCTGACAAAGCCTAGACAAAGAAATGCAGGCAACTAAGTCATGAGAGCAGGACAAATAGTCTTCCCCAGGGAAGGGCAAACCAACTGGTTCTCTAATACCACATGGTCATCCCTGACAACATACAAGTAACATTATACAGGCTGAACAGGCTGTATTTCTATACTTAGGATTATACAATATATATGAATATAATTATACGTGTATATATATACATAAAGAATTCAAGAAAACAGAGGTCATGAATTTAGAAGAGAGCAAGTGAAAGGCTATACAGGAGGGTTTGGAGGGAAGAAAGAGAAGAAAAGATGTAATCAATATTATAGTCTCAAAAAGAAACAAAAAGAAGCATTTTGTGGGTGTGGCAGTGAACACTATAGCACCAGCGCTCTCTGAGGGCGGGTGATTCTTGGAGGAGTAGAGGAGGGAGAACAACCATTGCTAATACTTCCTGCTCTGCATGAGTTCTACATATGGCTATTCTGTAGACAACTACTTCTCAATAAAGACCTGCTCCTTTCTTAAGAAAATGTTTTTTGAACTGATCCTTCAAAATTTTTCTTTAATGTGTATTGGGTTGTTTTGCCAGTATCTATGTCTGTGCGAGGTGCCCACGGAGGGCAGAAGGCACTAGATCCCCTGGGACTGGAGTTACAGACCATCTGTGTGCTGGGAATCAGACCCAGGTCCCCTGAAAGAGCAGCCACTCCTGAGCCATCTAGCCGCCCCCTTCTTTTCTCAATTTCATGTACCCATGGTCTTTGTCAGTTACATAATTTGAGCATTTTAGATGTATTTCATTTTTGTTCAATGTTTACCAATCAAGAGCATACAGAAAAATTCAAGATAAAAATATGTAATGTATTAAAATTGGGGCAACCGTCTATAATCAAATGTACTTCTGAAGCAAAAATATGCAACTATCATAGTAAATGGAATAAAGGTAATGAACTGGAATGATATTAATTCAGGATAAGCCTTTGATTCCAAATGAGTGAACAAAAAACTCATAATTTTCAGATCATTGTGAATTTCAGAACTGTGAAATGTACTTTCACCCTGTACGTAGATAAACTGTCAAAAAACAAGAATAAAATGACTACTATATGCTGTTTTTGTCTACCATACAGTGGTTCTGCAGAAGGTTTTAACACCGCTAGCCCATTCTTTGACACATTCTGAGTCTGGGTCTCCACAATACTGTGTTCCTCCATTTTGTTCCTTCCCTAAGCCCACTTTCTCCAAACCCCTTTAAAATCTCAGTTTCCTTACTTCCCTCATCGATCTAACAAGTCAAGAGCCTGCCACGGGCCAGGCAGGCAGGCAGGCAGGCAGGCACTAACCTAGGTGTCCAAGTATTCCAGAGGTGATGGCTCTATCCTATTTCTCAGCAACAATTCCTGGGTGCTGTGTCTCTCCATACCATCTCCTTCAGCACTCAATGACTTACCACTTATCAGCTGAGAAATACAAATTCACTAGCTACTTTTCCTCTCTGGCTTTTAGGTAACTTTTCTACGTTATTTTCATTTGATCTAAATAAAGATCTCAAATACATAATGGCCAACACACAGCCCTTGATTGGTCTATACAGTCTCAATGTACAGTCTCAGGCTCACCTCATACTCACTCCAGGAATGACCATTCCCCAGCTCTAACTCCACCCACACCATCACTAAGTTCATTTTTTTTCTATAAGCCACTCTCAAATGTACCCTTTCTATCTAAAAAACAACTATTTCATAGTATATAGACAAATATGTATTTGGTGCTTGTTTCCTTACCTACATTCTACTCACCAATTCTCTTAAGAGAGTGGCCTCCACTTGAAACACTTCAGGACACTCCCTAAATAAGTCAAGATCTCTTTCTACCCAGTTGGCTGTGCCTGGCCCTCTGTGGCCAAGCCCAGCATCCCTTGCTCCCTGTGTCTTCCCTGGCTCTCCTTTCTCTTTGGTATGACACATTCCAAGGACTTGGGCTTTGCAGTGTCTCAGGGAGGACTTTTTAAAGATTGGTGTGTTTTCTTCCTTGAGATGACTGTCTGGTCACTCCACCAAGGGTCCCCTTTCGCACTCTATTACAAACATCCGTTTTCTTCGTAAGTAATCTCTGTATATACGGCATACAGCAGGGACTTAAAACAGGTCATGTTTCTGAACCCAAAACTGATTTCATGTCCAAGTACAAACCACCAAAACAAAGTGAGACTGACTAGACAAACATCATTGGAGTAGAACTTCAATCTAACGTCATCACGTTTCATTTTGCTAACAGAAGAATTTTTGCTCTTCTTTACAACTCCAATGTTCAGAAGAACTTGCTAACATTTAATTTTGTTAAGGAAAAGAAACAATTATTGAGCCAGGTGTGGTGACAGAGGCAGGTAGGCAGGGGATCTCTGTAAATTCGAGGCTAGTCTGGTCTACAAAGCAAGTCCAGGATAGCCAAGGTTACAGAGAAATCCTGTCTTGAGAAACAAAACAAACGAATGAACGAAAGAAAGAGACAGAAAGGAAGGAAAGAAAGAATGAAAGAGAGAGACAGAAAGGAAGGAAAGAAAGAATGAAAGAGAGACAGGAAGAAAGGAAGGAAGGAGGGAAGGAAGGAAGGAAGGAAGGAAGGAAGGAAGGAAAAGGAAGAAAGAAAGAAAGAAAGAAAGAAAGAAAGAAAGAAAGAAAGAAAGAAAGAAAGAAGCAAACAAACGATTATTTATAGATTTTTGGGAGGCAGAACAAAACTCTGCACAAAAAAAAGCTTTGGATTCCAGGTACTAGTCTTTCCTTAGACATTAAAACAAGAACCAACGTGGGAAGGAAAGTGATAGTCTGAACGAGTATTCACCTGCCTTCATCTGTAAGAAGCAGAGCACACCCACATCCTTTCTTCAACAATTCAAAGCCCAAGTTTAGAAACTGTCCTTATGGCTGGAGAGATAGCTCAGAGGTTAAGAGCACCGACTGCCCTTCCAATAAAGGTCATGGGTTCAATTCCCAGCAACCACATGGTGGCTCACAACCATCTATAGTGATATCTGGTGCCCTCTTCTGGCATGAAGGTGTACATGCAGACACAACAATGTATGCATAATAAATCTTAAAGAAAGGAACTGTCCTTATGAAACTTTTGTTCTTAGGAGAAAGAGAAAAAACTTGGGCCATAGAAGTGACAGACAAAAATAAAATTAAAAAAAAATTGAAAAAAGAAAAGATGGTAATTGAGAACCAAGGAAAGCCTCTCTGATAGGGTGAAATGTGAGAGAAGCCAAGGATGGAGAATTCTGTGGGGATTATCATCAAGCATATTTAAATGCTATTTAAATGTGTAAGGAACATCAGTATTCACAGACTGCTGCAATAGCTCATTAGTACGCATCTATAACCAAAAAACCAATTATCCATTTTGTGGACAGTAAAGCAGTAAAAACTCATGCAACTGTACAAAAAAACAAAACAAAACAATAACAACAAAACTACCTAGCAAAAGACACTGACAACACCATTTTAAATAACAATAAAATAAATCTGACAACAGTTAGCTTCTCTGTAGAATTCTTGTATCAGCCCCATTAAACCTAAAGACAGGATGCCCACGGTTACAGAATTTGCTTCTTCACTCCTTTCCTTTCTTCGTTCCTTCTACTTCCTCTACCAATCAAGTTAAACCAGCTAACTCAGGCTCAAGCCCCATTACAACTCCACCCACTGTCCTCCCCCAACCCCTCTGTGCATCTGAAAGTCCTATGCTTTTCTGTACAAAAGTTACTTTACTTGCACCCTTTGTTCACAATTTAATAAAGACAATTAAAAATCACTGCTGCTTTTATAAACTAACAAGAATAGGGTTTTGGTAATGAAGATAATTTCTGTAGTCTAGCACGCTATCATCACATGTTAATTAGCATAATTATGACATCAATTTAATAATCTCAAATTTGTTAGCTTCCTCCCAAATGCAAATATTCAGAATGAAAACAGTCCACTCTAAAAACTTGTCAAGTAAGAACCACAGACCGACATGCCAGCAGATTTCCACCATCAGTTACACAGCTGGTTGCTTATAACTAGGCAGAGCAGTTGCGCGGGCATAATTCAAAAAACCACATGATTAGAAAATGCCTCCATCCATCCATCCACCTCTGTGACCAGTGCCCATCCCATCCCTCAACAAAGGCTCACCGCACACATGAACCCAGGAACAAAGAGCTGAACAGAGAATGTCTGGTTCTACATCAGGCCTGGTGAAAGTTACAAGTGGCTTAGAGTCCATCACTGACAACAGAGCTGACAGCTGAAGAGATTGAGCATAGGAGTTTAACTTGGCTCTATCCTCTAACAAGAGCAAGCATTGAGTTTAGAAAGGCTGTTATTATAACTTTTCACATGAATTTACAGGGCTACACCCTTTCCAATAAATCAGAATACAGGACAGGGGTTTCCCATGAATCCAACTTCACAATGCAATTCACACTTAAACTGACGGTGTTCTCCCATTCTGCCCTCCACGACGGTGTGATTCAAACAAATTTATTCAATACATATCTAGTCCTCTAAACAGCTTTTTAAGCCAAACCATGGCGGCACATGCCTTTAATTCCAGGACTTGGGCGGCAGAGGAAGGTGGATCTCTGTGAGTTAGAGGCTAGCCTGGTCTACAAGTGAGTTCCGCAACAGCCACGGCAAAATAGTCTCAAAAACAAAAACGAAAAGCAATTTAAAAGCCTTTTCAATTTTGTCCTAGCTTTCTGTAAGGTTTTTGATTTTCTAGCCAGTGACAGAAGTGGCTATTTTATTATTAAATGATCCTGTCAAACCAAGAAAACACACGACTATTTTCAAGTTAGAGTCGGTTTCATTCAGCCTGGTTCTCTGGGTGCTAATCTACCTCTCCAAGACACTGTGACTTCAATACACCAAATATAGAAAACAGCTCCCAACTTCGTATTGGGACTTTCAGGCCAATGAGGCTAGTTCTGTCAAATTTCCTTACTCTTTTCTCAAGAACTATCTTGAGTGTCTTATATTAAGAGTTGTTTCCGGGCGAAATATGTCCATTTAGTGAGACCAGCAAGCAGCTCAGCCAACAGAACTCGGAGACTATTTGCTGCTCGTACATACTGCAAATTAGAGAACCCTTATAATCATCTTGTGCCATTCATTGCATTGTGAGCTCAGCCCTACCCGTTTGGAATATTTAGTCCATTTCTCAAAGTTTCCGGCAGCGGGGACCCCACCACACTGCAAGAGACTTCCTAAGCAGGATGCCCAAGCTCTCTCCTAAACCCCAGAGTGGGGTTTAATTGCAGATCGAACAAAGAGCAACAAAGAAGTGGGTGGTAACAATCTCCCGCAGGGGCATGCCAGGACCCATCAAGCAGGAACAACTCTAGGCTTCCCTCCCTCCTCTTACTACTCCCCCACAGGCCTACCTATCCCCAACTCAAAACCCCTTAATCGCCACCGACCAAGTGAAGCCCTACGATCCGAACCCTGAGAAAGTGGCGCTGGCAGAACCCAGCGAACAAAGGCGAGGGATGGAGTCCACGCAAAAACACGACCGAGACGGCGCCGCTCTGCGAACTTGGCCCCCGGCCAGCAGGAACTCCTCCGCAGCCCCACCCGGGCGGTGGGGTCCGGGGTGAGGCTGGCAGCGGAGAGCAGACAGATCTCGGGCGAGAAGGGGGACCCTGCAAGCGGGGGAGGGGACAGGGACGCGGGGCGGAGCTTCGGGCCGCCGGCTTTGTGCAGTCAAGCCCGGGGTACCGACGGGGGTTCTCTGGGGAGGGACGGAGGGGGAGCCGGTCCGAGGCAGTGCACTCCCGTGCCCGCGCGGGCCCGAGCGGAGGACCCGAGACGAGCGAGGGCGGGCGTCCTCGGGACACGACCGCTCGGGTAGGCCGAGTCCGTGTCCCCGCGGGCGGCCACCCTACGCACCCCGAGCCGCCCGTCCGCCCCGCCGCAGGGCCCCCCGGGGCCACTCACCGTCATAGTAGTAGCACACTTTCTTCTTGCCGCCTCCCTGACTGTACGCCATGGGCTCGGGCCACCGCCTCCCGGCTGCGACTCCTCCTCCGGCTGCTCCCGCCCGCCGCGGCCCGGCGGCCAGACAAGAGGGGCTGATGGGGACGGCGGGCGCGGCGGCCGGGGGGAGCAAGGGTGGCCCGGAGAGGGACGGGAGCGGGGGCCGGGAGGACCCGAGAGCGCAGAGCCGGGTGGCAGCGGCGCCGACGCGCGACACTCGGCGGGGGAGTCCCCGGTGCGGCTGGGCTGGGAGGTGGGCGCGACCACTGCGGCAGCACCGGCGGGGGGAGCTCGCGGCTGCGCGCGGAGGAAGGACGGGCCCAGAGCGGGCGTCGCCGACCGGGGCGGGAGCACCGCGCGTTGTCACGGATCCCGAGCGGACCCGAGGTGCCAGCAGGCGGACCTTGACCCCGGTGCTCCGAGTCCCGGACGCGCAGCCCGCGGGTCTCCCCCCCGCAGACCTGCGCGCACTGGTTGCGCCTGGGCCGAGCCTGCGCACTCGGAGGCTGCTCAAACGTCTCCCGGGCAGTCTGGACCCCTCCGCCTGGGCCCACGCCGCTCCCCTCCCCCACCGCCGCGACGCTCGCCGGCCCGAGCCCGCCACGTGCCGCCGGGACCCCAAGGGGAGTCGTCTGGAGAGCTCCCCAGGGCTGCAGTGCCGCCCCGGGGCTACCTGGTGGTCGGATATTCCCACGGGTTCCAATTCGTGTCTGCCCTCCTCCCGCATCAGCTCCTGGTAACTCTTCTTGAGTTACTGCCTTAGAGACGTTAATGGCAGACTGTCCCTCCTGGATTCAGTAAGCATTTGTTGGGCTCTCAGCATCGAGACTTGCTGATAACAGACACTTAATTTGAAAGCTGTCAAAGGTGCTGGGATGTTCGTGCCGTGTCCTTTTCCCCATAGACGTGGGCAAATGAAGGAGTGTAGTGTTGTCAAGTCCTAAATAGCGGTCTGAGGACCGGAGGGGTGTCTAACTTTTCCAAACTCCACTGGCTTTTCCTAATTCATCAGACTGGAGGTGCCACTAACCAGACACTGCTCTTCTGGAAGAAGAGCAGAAACCCAAAAGAAATTATTTGAACCACCAAGTCCCGGTGTTTAGTAGTTTGACATTTATTGAGTACCTGTCTAAGCCGACCTGCAAGGTGAAGGTAAAGCATAGAAGCTGACAGTTTAATGCAACAACTCGCATGTCTTAACGATTATTTACAATTCCTTCTAAACGCATACACTGCTTCCTCCTCTTGAAGAGGAGGTAGTGAAGTAAGACTCACACTGAGTCAATTACAAAAATGTTTTTTTTTCTACTTTCTGATGATCCCCAGGACTCTCCGTGCTTCAAGCACCAATCTCTTAGATGTCACCCCAAGAGATTTAGAATTAGTCCAAGGTACCCCTTGCCACATCCCTTTCTCTCTGAAGCCTGTATTTTTAACAAGACCCTGGGAGACTAACTCGGTTGGTTCAGCAACCACAGTGGAGAAACTCTAGCTTCGATGTTAATGGTGACTACAGAGTGTTGCTTGCTGAGTTTTGCTCTCTCAGTTCCAAAATCAACCAGGGAAGGTTCTGAAAACAGAATGAGACAGTTTACCAGACACGAACGTTCTTCCCCAGACCCAACACTGTGAAGTGTGAAATCAGACTTGACTTCTTCAGGGAGACTTCTAGCCTCTCTCCCTTCTCCCATGACTGTTTTCTGTGCTTTTTAATACCTTGTGTTCTCTTAGCTCAACACTTAACATGTTATGTTATGCCCAGATCTTAAGGACCACCAGGTTCCAGACCATGTATGCAAGAGCAAAGACCTTATTAGGGCTTAAGCTGAGTTTCTCCACCATCACCCACGTAGTGGATCAGAGAGGAGAGCTGCAGAGAGAGCAGCTGCAGTGCAGGGTTTTTATTGGGGTTTGAGGAAGTGTAACAGTTACAGGATTGGCTGACATTCTGCAAGGGCAAGCTTGTTACAAAGTGATTGGCTAACTAACATTGAGCAAGCTATCTTTATACCCCTCAGGAATGTTAGGTATTTTCTGTGCCAAGAAATGTTCTACTACAAGGTCAGTGAGCAGAGATGACCCATCCTGAGATAAGATACCTTCCCTTTCTTGTAGTTATCCTCAGGCTGTTTCTCGAGTAACTCGAGGGGAGTTTTATGGCAGCAGGGGGAACAGCGTCCACCATAGCTCTTGGGGCCCTAGCATTTTTATAACCTCTCAAGAGTTCCCAGTATTCTAAACATAAACTATCTTTACCTGGCAAAATAATGCCCCTGCCAGAACACAGAGCACGAGACCAATCATAGTTAGCTGCTGTGATAATCTCAAGCAGCCCCATACCACATACCTGGGATTAAAACAAAAACGTATTCACACAATATTTTTGTGTTTTTAAAGAAACCAAAATTCTCACTACATGTGAGTTGAATGGTAGTTCTATTGTTATTTTAAGAATTCTTGATACTGATTTCCATGGTGTCTGGACAGATTTACATTCCCACCAACAATGTATAAGGGCTCTCTTTTCCCCATGTCTTTCCTAGCATTTGTTCTCACTCGTTTACCTTTGCCAGCCATTCTGATGTGGTTGAGCCGAAATCTCAGTGTAGTTTTAATTTTTATGCCCTTTGCTGGTTTAGGGTGTTGAACATTGTTTCTTCTGTTTATTATTTTTTGGCCATTGGTACTTGGCCACTTTTTCTAGGGTAGAGGGAGAGCTGTGGTTGAGATAAATACCAACTTCTCATATTTTAACTTGCTGTGTAGCTTAGGATAGCTTTGAACTCATTTTTTATCTATAGGCATGTGTCTCATGCTGGCTTTCATACTTCATCTTTTGAAAATTGTTTTATAATAATCCTTTTATTATCTGGGTTGTTTGGATTTTGATATTTTATTAAATATCAAATTACATATGCCAAGTGTATTCATTACTTTTCTATTGCTGAGATAAAAAAATAAAACAAACAAACAACAACAACAAAATGACAAAGACACTTCTAAAAGAAAGCATTTGAGTGGGCTTACAGAAGGTTGGGGTCCATGGCAGTGTAGCAAAGCCATGAGGAGAAGAGCTGAGAGCTCACATCTGAAGCCACGAGCAGATCATCCTGAAATCTGAGTTCTGGGGATCCAAACTCCTGGACGCAGGAACTGGGCCTGTCTGTCTTTGTGAATTCCCCTGGTATAAAGCCTGTGTGCCAGACCTGCGTTTTGATCCCTCCCGGGGTTTAGGTGTTGCTCTTTCCTCTGTGCCAAGCCTGCTCTGTGTGGTTTCTCATGGAAGTGGGCTGCAGGAGCTGGGTCTGTCTCTGTGTAATGCAATTCAGTCTGTTTCTCAGACCAAATTTAAACCTCACAGATTACTGCATCAAAGTTCTTCCCTCTACCTAGAGGAGTTCTGCTGGCTACATCAAGAGTTTGCTCTCATTTAACAGTTGCTCTGAGTTTCCAGGCATGAATGGAGGAGCCTGTGCATCGAGAGCCATGTAATCTCCACTTCAGCAGGGATCCTTTAAAAGTTGTTTCTCAGCACTGCACTATTCAAGTTCTGAGAAGAGGCGGTCTTTTCTCAGCTGTGCCTCTATCTGTCTCTGTCTCTCTTTCTCTCCCGTCTCTTTAAATTATTTGTTACAGAAAGTACAGTGGCTTTTTTTTTTTGCTCTGTATTTGAAAGCAAGGTTCTAACCCTCTGTGGTTCCAATCACTTTTTTCTGGGAGCACAGAGCTCACCAGTTGGTACTGAGCCCACTGGTACAGGCTCTAGACTCTCTTTTCTATTTTCCAAATCATCTCCTTTTTTATTTCTAAAGCTAGTGTTTCTGAATTATCATTCATATCATAGAATTTGCTATTCTCTACCTGTTCCCAGAAATTTTGGGCAACTCCAGATTGGGCACTGTATGTTACCAGGGAAACTGGGGCTCGCTCTTAGTCTTGTTAATAAAAGAATTCAAAAGCCAACTCAGTAGGAAACTCAAGGACAATTTTGTTAGAGCTTGAGAGACAAGACAGACAAGCTGTAAACTTCAGCAGCCATTTGGAGGAAGAATACAGAGAAGGCAGGATGACTTAACTGAACAGTGGTTCAGTAACAGCATGCACAAAAGGTGGAATTTCTGGGAAGGAAAATGACATTATCTCATTGAGATAATTATTACTCACACCACTTTAGCGTGGCATAATGTAAATCAACCTTCCCTAGTCTCTTAGCCCAGATGACTGATGGGTTTAACTCTTACAGGAGGCAACAATAAAATGAAATGTCAGAACATAGGTCTGTAAATGTAGCCCAGATCCCACAGACTAGATCAGGCCATGTTTCCCTGCAGCTCTCTGGGACAGAAAGTTAAACTCCTGGAGCATAGCTGGGGAGATGTCTCAATGGTTGAGAGCACTCGTTGCTCTTACAGATTACCAGAATTGATCTCAGCACCACACAGATGTGTGGTGCCTCTTCAACGCCCATAACCCCATAACAGGATCCAACAAGCACATGTGTGATGCACATGCAGAGAAAACATTCATACACACAGAGTAAAAAAAAATCTTAGAAGAAGAGGATGAGGAGGAGGATGAAGACAAGGATGAGAATGAAGACAAGGAAGGAAGAAGTGAAAGGGGAAGAGAAAGGAGAAGAAAAGAAGGAAGAGGAAGAGGAAGGAGAGGAGGAAGGAGCCAGCTTGGAACTAGTCATGGTGTTGCACTCCTTTAATGCCATCTTGATCTACATAATGAGTTCCAGGCTAGTTGGGGTGACATAGTTTCAAAGAAGAAGGAAGAGGAGGACAAGAAGGAGGAGGAAGAGGAGGAAAAGGAGAAGTCATCTATGCTATGACTTGGCAGCTCTTAATTCATAATACCTGGCTCCTCCATGCTTCTTGTCACATTCTATACTGAGTTAAATCATGTATCATGAAACTTCCCACCACACCTAAAAGTATAAAAATTCATATTTCTTCTCGGTTCTGGGATTGGCCCAAGATTCATCAAGAAGACTGCTGGCAAGATTTCCCTAAAAGGTGCTCTCTCAGGAGGCTGTTCTGGCCTCCCCACCCCTGCCTTTCCTCTCATGGTGGATTCCTCCGTCCCTATCTGTCTCTCAGCACCACTTTCCTTTAAGAACATTTATTTATTTATTTATTTATTTATTTATTTATTTATTTATTTATTTATTTATTTATTTATTTTGTGTGTGTATGTGTTGTTTAAATGTGTCATGTGTGTTCCTGGTGCC